TGTCTGTTGCTTACACGACGAAGGCAGGTGTGGCTGTAAGTGTTGATAAGCGATTCGACTTCATTTGCCATGATCCATTTGAGATTCAGGGAGGGTTGGTCCATGATTTTCTCAGTGGAAGTGGCGTGTCTGGAGCCTCTCAAACTTCGAAGGGGACGTACAGCTGCGTGGGCAATTCAGTAAGCTTTCAAGGCAGCATCACATGCACATCAAGCGAGTTGTTACATGTGTTGGCACTTGAATTTGAACCGCGTGAAATAAATGTGGTTAAAGACTTAGTTGTATCGGGCTTTGGTATGGTTTCTTCTAGCAAAGACGATGTTTGTGCGACCTTTGGCGTCGGAGATACACAATGTTTCTGCTTGCGGTTCGTCCCGAAATCAGCGTCGAATCTCATTAGTATAGGTCGTGTGAAAGTGCTGTGGAGACGCCAATCACCGACGATAACAAGTGCACCTGAAGGCATTCAAAACGCTGTGAGTACGTGGCTGGATCTTCCGATGGTATCGTTCTTGGATGCTCCGTTGTCGTTTAATGTGGAAACTCCACCCATTGGTGTCAAAGGAGTCGTTCTTCATATGGATATCCGAGTAAGGAATAATGAAGCAGTTTCTCATAGTCTACGGATTAAGCCCGTAGACGCAAACGAAGCTTTCTTTATTTCCGGCCGAACAAACACCACGGAGGACTTGCTTCCTTTCGATGAGCAAGTATTTCGGTTGGTATTAGTACCTTTGAAGACGGGTAAGACATTTGCTTCATGTTAAAAATTTACTTTACCTTTAACTGTTATCGCATTTTTGTCAACATAGGCTATTTACGTCTGCCCTCTTTAGAGATCATATCGTTGACATATAACCTTCCGCTTAGCGATCCGGACGAGCGTCAAGAACTGTTTGTCTTGCCACGAAAATGCTCGAATTTGGAAATAGCGAATCGATAATGAACTTTGAATGATAGACTTGTTGAAATTTGAATGAGTAACAAATTGAATGTTTTAGTTTGCCACCTCTTTTTTAAATTTGTACTTTTTGGAGTCAATTTTAAAGCCACTAGATCTCCTACTCTTGCGATAGACCCGTTTAGATTTATAAATGGGTGACAAAGTGAACTGAGTATTTCGTCATTGTGCCAATATTTTTCAAGCGTTTCTACTTTTAACGTTCAGTTTCCAAGGTCAGAATTGTTCCTACTTTGGATATTCTTACCTCAAACTTCCATTGATTTCGGATCATGGGTATTCATCCTTCATCTTCACTAGATACTATTTGCGGCTTAGTGACCCCGCCGGTCCACTATCCGATCCACATGGAATGGACCACCCATTGGTTATCGAGCAATGCCGGCGGAGGCAACCTTCCCTCGGGTGACTATGATGCTTCAGTTTTGGCTGAATCTCAACTCTCTCCATGACCCCTGACGCGTGGCTTAAACTGAAAAGAGGTGCACGAAACGGCTCAAAACAGTATGGAGCAGAGAGTAACTCAGCTACAAAGGATAGATAATTCTTTGCACTCAAGCGCTCCATGTACTAATAACACAGCAGGATCGTAGTATGACTTAACGAGATCGCAAAAGTTACAGAAAGTGTTCGCGTTCTCTTCAGAACATCAAGAATGTAGCTCATCCCTCTTTTAGCTGTGACCGTAAACGGACCGATGTGACGAGGTCACAGCTTCGCCTTATCGACTATAGACACTGCATATATAGACGAATAGCGCTCAATGAGTTTTATCACCCAGTACAATCACGTATCTGCATGTTGTCATGGCAGAATTTGGCTATCACTAATCGCGTCGCGAGCTGAAAGCATGACGCTTAACCCCTTCGAAATATAATTATCGATTTTCTTCAAAGTATGGCCAGGCTGGTATTAGCAAGGCGAATCATATCGACAACTCTTCCCAAATGACGTTTGGAGTCACCCAGTGGTAGTATGAATTAAACAGTAGGCTATTCGAATTTTTCATTTATATGAGGTTACGCTATTTGAAGCATGTACAGCATTATTTTGCGTACAATCAATGCATATGATCATTTTGTTCTGCACCGCCGTCTCATAAGACCCGCCTTCGGTCCCACCTACGGACCGAGCCGTCCGTCATGAGATCGACCTGGTACCAGGAATTAAATTCTGCATAACACGCCAATGGCCCCTATCCAAGGAGCAGTGCGACGTCATTGACGCACACTCGAGCAGTGCTCAAGAGAATAATATGGCTCCTTACATCCGAACCTTATATCCGGCACGGCTATAGAAATAAATCACTGACATGTATTTGAGCATAAGGAACTGTGGCTTGCGTCATCAGTCTATTGGGCGTCGCTGGTAAATTAAGTCCTTGTGACTTGGGCATAGCCAACCACCCCGCCGAAAGCAATAAATGCGGCCAGAGTTACGTCATTCTCTTTTATGAATAGCCATAAACCAGGTAAGAAGCACTAAGCACAGCTAAATCAACAATTCCAGTTGAGATCACAATTTTTGCGCGGATAAGCATGCAAAAATTACTACTTGTCGCTAGATTCTTGGCATCGACAATCGGGGCTGACGAAGAGTCTTACCAAACCGGTTAACGACGTACCCCCTGATCCGAGAAACACAGGCGTAGCGAGTCACTTGTCACCACGTCGGAATTCTTCTCCAATAAAGGCTAAAGGACATTTGTAAGGCCCTAACGGGTAGCTGCTCTACATTCCCACTTGATGTTATGCAAGGATTTTCAATAACGTAAACATCCTGGAAGGATGACTGCAGCGGGGCTGCCGTAGCTCTTGCTTAGAGGAAGCTAAGCTGAGATCACCGACCTAACGTTCTTTACAAGAACCAGTACGAGTGTAGCGGATTGCAATTCGCTACCTCCAAGAGTGCCCCAAAATCTCAACTAAGGCAAAGACGCTCTTTCGTTCAAAATTGAAACTGAATTTAATTGTTTTATTTGCGGCAGAGCCGAAACATTAGGTTTTTCTAATTATATAGTACAACCTAATTAATATGCATAACTACTGAACATATTGGGCTTCTTGTTACGGTGTAGCCACACCAATGACTGATTATACCAACTTACAGATGACGATCTCAGCCCCATATACAGA